AATATACATATAGTAAATAACAAGTCAAACGGTATCAGATATATACCACAAAATTTATTTGAAAACTAGCGAGTACTTTCGACTATAAGTCTTTATCAAGCTATGAAGTAAAACATGGTAAGATAGAATTAAATACATAACAGAAGCTCATGAAGTAGCTTAGGCCTATGATAAACCAAGGTACCTATACAGTGTTAAAATAAGGACATGATGAACATAGTAGGCTACCCTGTAGCTTTCCAACAAATAAAGTCCTATAAAAGTCATTGTGTAATAAAATGACTCCGATGGGATTCGAACCTGCGACCTCTCGCTGACAAGGCGAGCATCATAACCACTAGACCACGAAGGCTTCATGGTTGAACAGGTCCAAATAACCGTCGGGAACATTGTATTACACAATGCTACGTCTCAAGAGGGCGTTCGGCCAGATAAATCTGGCAATACGGCTAGAAATACTGTTAGCCGTTAACACTGTTGAATAAATATATTATAGATCATCAAAGGTACATATACAGTGTTATATATATATATATATATATACATATATATATATATATATATATAATATTGTATAAGGCCAAAAGAAACAAAAAAATATATATACATATAAAATATATATATAATATACAAAAGAAACAAATAAATTACAAACATCAATCAAAAACATACAAAAACTAGGATTGCTTTCTATTATACTTTATCTTCCTTAATCATGAGATAAACATATATACAATGGTACCACCATGATCGACATAGTACAACTTACCAGTGAGCTGCAAATGGACGACAAAGATCTAAATGAAAAGGTGTCGTGGTTCGCAACTCGCGCAATCTTACTACAGCTTCCACATAGACAAAGAGTAGCCACAGGGAAACTGTCGGTAGACATATTCCTCTATCTGAAATGTAAATGAATGAACCATTCCGACTCGGAGAATCATGCAAGAAAAAATGTTAAAACTGTAGACAATGAAAAAAACAATTGACTTTTACAATATGTGATGAAATCTGAAGAAACTCTAACAATTCAATTACAACATTGAATTGCAATTTAAAAGGATCAGATTATAAATTTTATCAAATTCCAATAGTTTTATGAACACAGATCAAAACAATTACTATTTTTCTATGATTTATAAACTTTTTATTATAAAAAAGCAATAAATCATTTAAGGATTTATAGGCATACTATACAATAAGAACAGAGGTGGCACCAACGGAGGGGGAGGGCTGACTCTTTCTAATTTTTAATTAAAAGATAATCTTAAATAAAGTATTGAATTTTTGGGTTTCTTTTTTAATCTGATAGTATATTTTATAGTCTAAAGCACTGTTAAAATACAATAAATGATGGAAAATGGCATTGATTAATGTGGTTTTGGTCAGATTAACTTACCTCATTATAAAGAATTGCTCTTTCCTTAAACATATATAGAAGAAATTATATGATCAGGTATCTCATAACATAGTTTCAATCTTAATCGTATAGTACTGTCAGAATAATACGGGACCAAACATTTTTTTTTCTGACAGAATGAACATTAAATAACAATCCATTATAGAAAACTGTCTGTAATGATAGTATATCTTGGTTGTCAAGTTAAATGATTTCAGAAAATTAATGATTTTGTGTTCACAGTGTTTCTGTTTTTATCATTATTGATTATATGTTAAGTTGAAGATATATGTGTTATTGTACCTGTGTGCCAAACAAATTGAACCCAGACGTATGTACTAGCAGCAAAAAACAACCAGTGCACAGGAATAAATAGAAGACAAATCATATCTGACGTAATGGCAATGAAGATGAAGAACACAGAGAAAGCCTGAAAAGAAAAAAAAAATTAATTTTACATACAGAATACAACATATTATGAATCAGGTTGAAATAATTCTAAGAAAATACAGACTAGATGATATCTGCAAGATTAAAATTATTGATATTTAAAGTAATGAGTATCTTAACAGATAGTTCCCACCCACTAAACACATCTGACAGGCAACTCAAATGGGATATTTGCATCAGTAATGTGTCATCCATTATTTTTATCATTTTCAAGAGAACGCAAATCTTAGTTTTTTTTCCTTGACACCTCCTCCCCAAAAGAGTACATAATAAAGTGATGGTTGTTGTCATATTGAGAACAAGGGTTCTCATAAAGAAATAGGGAAATTCTGAAGCAAGGGGAAGGGATATTGCATGATCATCCAAAGACTCTGCATATACCCATAAAAACAGTAAGCCCAGCAATGTACTGTAGTTATGGTGGGTGGAGGCGGGCGGGGGGGCCACCCAGCCTTGGAGTTTTCGATCCAGTCTAAAGCTAATTTCATGGGCCCTCCACCCACCCTTAACAACCTACGTTTCCATCTTTAAAAGTCATGCTTATTACTTAGAGTAAATACCAATGTTATCATCCACTCTTAGTTTTCTAGAGCTTCAACAACCCTGTGAGCATACAGTACATATATTCACAATAAATGCATGTTTATAATAATAGTACAATTGCCAATATAAATATTATAATAAAATAAAAATAAAAATTGTATACTTACCAGACCCTGATAACGGTATGAGTCGTAGAGGCTGCGGAAAAGTAACCACAGTGGCCAAATGTACTCAACACGAAACTCCAAGATGAAGTCCAGAAATAGTACTAAACCCCATAGCATTAGAAACTTCGCATACATAAATGCGCTATAAAAGGAGAAATACAGTGAAATCAAACTTTGAAAATATTCTCCAATAAAAAATAATGTTTATGATGAATGACCCAGAAACCAAATGAGACGGAAATTTTTATGTTTTTGAACATTTATTTTGAAATTGGCGCATTTGTAATAGCTGTGGATTAGTAGAGCACAAACTACAAACCATCTCTACACTCTTATTAGAGCAGTCTTGAAAATGTATTTAGTGAAGTCTCTCAACGAAATTAGAGACATTGTTGAAGAGGCCATATTGGGATGAAGCTCTGTCCACACTATCAAACTTTCCTTTTGTGCCTAAAGATGTGCCTATATATGGTCATTTTTGTGATGTCATCATGACCATATTTAGACATGTCACATGTTTTTGTCAAATAAAATTTTATAGTCTGGACAGGGTTTAAGAGTTCAGTTCATAGGTCAGAAGTCAACTGTGTTATTATGGAATTTGAGTTTTTGTTGATTATTTTCTTTATTTTTTTTTTTATACAATATAGAAATATTGGGAATGAACTGCAGTCAAAATCATATTCTCATCCTCCTACACATGGTGTACTGAAATTTTATTGATATTGTTAAAATCATATTAACTAGGTTGGGGAGTGAAGAATGAATGTAAACTCATGTTCATGTGCCTTCAGTAAATGGATTATTAGTATTTAAACCTCATCGACCATGACGCAGTATACTATAAGTATTATAACAACTGAAAAATAAAAACATGTAGTAAATCTAAGTTTTATTACAGTCATTAATGGCTTGAATTGCATACTAATACATTTCATCTCTATAATTTTAAATACTGTACATGTATAACTACAAAGTAGCTCATGCCTTTATTTTTCCGACATGCTAAACGTACAATAATATTATCATAGAGAATACCTTCTCTATGAATCGGATACTATTAAAAAAACAAGACTGAAATTTAAATTTAGGGTCCAGCAATGTCCACCAATCAATCAACACCTCAGATTTGCTTAAGAATATGGCATATTTTTCTAATCTATACTGTATCATTGTTTTAACAAGTATGAAAATATAGGCTACATGGGAGAAAAGATTTAGCACTGCTGAGCCTTCTGCGGCACAGTATGTGTTGCTAGCTTAGTCCTGCTTATCTACAATGTTGGGAGCCCAGCCTAGGTTTTCTGCGCCTACACATCAAAACGGCTAGGCCTTAGGGCCTAAATAAACTCTTCTCAACTTAAATTTATGAATAATGAAAATAAATATATATGTATCTTGGCATTATACGATTAACCGAAACATAATTAGAGTGTGTATAGGCTGGTAGTTATTATATATTACTCTTTCAAATAAAATCCCATATGATGAGTGAACGGGATGATGATCGGGAAGATGACGGAAGGCTAGGCCAACCGATTGTCAATTTCATTCAGCCAGTCGGCTTATGCAGTGAAGCCTGTCTTCGTCGCGGTGTTGAGGAAACTATGATTTACAGAGTACAAAAAAATCCCTTTCTTTTACCTTCCATATATGTTTTCTGTGATCTTGTTACGTTTTATTGGACGTTTTAATCTGCCACAATCGGCATTGCGCCTCTTCATATTCCCAATCTTCGCCAATTTTGCACGAATATTGCTGAAAATGTAAAACAATGTTATACAGTATGTTCTGCAGGCGAAGTTGTGGTGCTGAACTAAAGTAGACAGCTCGCAGACCTCTGTATGTAGGCCTACTGAGTCTGCGTAGTTGACGTCACTTGAGGTTTTCATGAAATTCGATCTCAAATCTATTTTTGTACCGCATCACCCGTCACCAAACCCATCCCCAACCCCAAACTGACTTAACTTATCAGAAGTCAGTTTCATTTTCTATACATTCGTAAATGGAGCCCATGTATCCTAATTCGTAGGTCATTCTCTGATTCTGCACGTGTTAATACTGTTTCTACAAAATTGCAATTACTGTAATATGAAAAAGCAACAGTGGATAACAATTTTGACAAAAGTTCGAATACAACTGCACCATAGTTAACGCATATGACTAAATGATAGGCCTATGATAGATAAAATTATAAAGGACATGACTGAGCAGCACTTACCAAATGTTATATGTCTTGTTTTCTTACAATGTAACCTCAGCTTATTTTTTATCATGCGTAGGCCCTACTTAAGTTTATTATAGGCCTATGTTGTTTTCTTTTGAAAGCATTGGAGTCGGAAATTCAAGTGAACCGAGTGCACAAGGACAATACATCGATCTTGTACTTTGTATCTTGTATTTTAAACAATATTAGGCCACCAAAAAGAAAATGTTAATAGAGAATAATCACAAATATGGCTTTTGGAAATCAGAGCCAAATATACATAATTTTGAGATTTTAAACTGTCGTGTCAGGCATGAGATACAAATCTAATTAACCTTACTACTGCCGATTAAGACGTGATAATGTAAAACAATTTATACACAAAGATATTTTGCATGCATATATATATAGTATATATATGCATGTATGTATGTAGGCCCCTATATATATATCATGAAAAATGGAACACAAATCAAAACAACAAGAAAATATATATATATTACATATATATTGGCCTGTATATATA